GAGTTGAGGCACAGCATAGTTACGGTGTGTAGGCCATAGATGACCATCTGAGAGGCCCAGAGTTACAACTATTTACTCTAGAACCATGTTTTCAGCTGTATATTTCTTTGATATTTAGGCCTGAATCATACCGATGGTTACTGCAAGAAAGTTAAAAATATTTTTAATGTATTTTTTGTTTCAGTGAATGAAATGTTATTATCAACGAAATGGTGGTTTGCAACAATATATATTGTGACGATAATCTCTTTCAAGAGAGATTGAGCCTGCTCTTCCCTCCAAAGTACGTCCCATTAACAAATAATATAGAAGATATATCCAACAAGTATCACCAAAACGTTTTGCCCAGAGAGCAAAACGTATCCAGCCCACCTGCTCGCCTCCGCCACCGTTAACCGGCAAACTGCTTGTCCATCGCCTGCCTGTCGCTGATTGGCTGGTGCCCAGTCGCACCTGCCCCACCACCCTCCTCCACAAGTTGATGTCTGGGCTACAGCGACCTAGAGAAGGCAGAATATCTCAGTGCTCCACACAGTTGACACGTCTCATTGGTAGACTAAGCCTTGGCTTACGTGTACTAAGGGAGGTGGCAGCTCGAAGCCAATATTCCTGCACTATTATTTACTTTGCTATTATTCACTTGTCTTAACGTAACTTTTCATTTGCCAGTGATTATTCTTATTATTTTGTTTGTTGATTTGTCTGTTACATTTTTATACTCAATTTTATTCATGTCTTGCTTTTCTAACGTAATTAAAATCTCATTGTTAAATTTACTTGTGTTTTGTGTGTCTTCCCATTACCTTACCACAGACGAAAGTTCCAGCTTTTCTCTTTTTTCTTCTTTATGTGACGAGGCCATGCCCCTAGCTTTTGAAACAGCCGAACACCAACGCGTTACCGTCACAATATATATATATATATATATATATATATATATATATATATATATATAATATATAATGGTAGCAGTCTTTCTTGTAAACATAAGTTGTTGAATATGACCGAAAAAGTAAGATTAATAATTCTAACACGAATTTTCTCTATTTCTTATGTTTTTTTTCACTGTCGGTGGTAATGGAAATATCAATTCTCCAAAATTCATTTTTATTTATGGTCTGACGCCTGAACGCGTTTCGTAATGACTTATTACATTTTCATAGACTTAATTTACACATAAATTCATCGTACTTATACTCTATTGGTGAGGGTGATATGGTACAAAAGTTTTGGGTGAGGTGAACAAACTTGTGACAAACACAAGACAGAACACAAAACAATGGGTATAACTTGAATATGAGAATATAAGAACGGAAGTAACTGCAGAAGGCCTATTGGCCCATACTTCCTCTTGCTGCTTCCATATTGGTTCTGGGTCTTGATGTGGGTAGAATATAGTTGTGCATTAATCGAAACAATACCTATTCATGGAGTCGTGAAATTTGATGTAGGGCACCGTAGGTTTACCTGTGCAACTTGAAAAAATAGAAAAACATTTAGATGGGCCAAAAATGCGCAGACATTGGCATATCACTAGAGGGAACAAGTGCTAGACAAGGGTGAGGCTGCGTTCGCAAGGTTCACCCAGTCATTTAATTGTTAGATTTGACTTACCGAGTAGGCTTCATTATCCTCCGAGTCATGCTTGGTGTTTAACGACTGCCTGCCTGCCTAACATGAATAACCCAACCAGATCTGACCTAATACTATACAGCGCATTCGCCCTGAAAATATCTCCCTAAGGTTAAATCAACTCTATAGCACCAATTAAGTTGGACAACTATGAATATGAACGTATTTACGCACATTGTAAAATCTGTAGTAATTATACGACTTGCTGAATTTAATTAAGGCCTAAAATATGTGTTAAACAAATAACATATATTTGTTAGCTTTTATGTTACGGAAAATTAAGATTGCTTGGTTGGTTTTTTAAATAAAATTGTCATGCAGCTTTCTGTGTGTTCGTATAATAAGCGAAGAACAATCAAGATGTTTGGGGGTGCGTTTTGTCAAGGTATATGTTAAGAAAGGTCACATCATTGTTAAGGTGTCACTGTGTCCTTCATGGAGTCTAGTGCATGCGTGCCACATCTCCACACTTCAGTTCGTTCTTTAAATATAAAACGAGAAAACTTAGAAGACATTAAGGGCCTTTGGAGTGAAGTCTTAATGGCACAGGGACCGGCAGTTGTCTGGGGCAACTGGTTCAGTGCGCGCACACCCTTGAAATTGCAAACAATAACACGGTTAATGTTTGGTTAGTGTTGCAGTGTGAACACAAGTGGCTTTCATCGCCTCGTGTAATAATTTCTCCTTGCCAGTCTACTGTGGATATTAGTTACCTGCGTATTTAACATCACTCGTGTTTCTGTACGGCTGTTGCTTTTTGTTTTTCTGCCGTTGTGTTGCATCACGCGTGTATATATAATTATTATGGCTTCTTATAACCGGAGAGCTGACGACCTGACAGCCTGTACGACGTTTGGTCCCCCTGCTTCGAATTTGCTTGTACATTCCGGAATATATGTTTGTTTTCTTTTGCTGTTGTGTTTATCCATTGTAGGAAATGAAACTATAACGTGTGAATGTATTTATACCCTGATAAATATTTTTGTAATCAGTAGTATACGTGTTTTGTCCACTACAGTAGACAAAAGAGCCTTTGGAGTTGCTGCAATTTGCCAATTGCAGCAAGTGTGTATAGCCACACTGCGGTGAATGTATTTTTACACTATGATAAGTGTATTTATACATCACTAGGAATATATATTAATGTTTTTTTCACTCCGCACACTCTGACATACTTATTTAAACACTGGTGAATACATGTATTTCTTCGAGCGCGAGTTCCAAGGTCATGGGTGTCAAGCTGTTACATCTTTATACTCACGATATAGTCCTGAGTAGCATAAATTTCAAATGTTTTCTTTAAACTATGTTCACGTTTTTTTTTATCCTGATAAGAGTATAGTGAAGATTGTTTCACCAGTAAGGATTTAACTCTATTAAAGGAAATACCATCATATAGGTTGATATAGTCCATGGATTACTGAGCTAGTTGGATACAAGATAACGTTACAGTGTATCCTGTGCTTTATTCCCGAAGAAAAGCAAATCCAGTAAAAATACCAAAAAAACGACACAATAAGATTTAACGATGTCACGTAGTACTGACTTGTACTGTACACTACTGGAAATTAAATTGGTTATAATCTGATTAACTTGACCTGGTACTGTTTTTTTCCAGACAAAAAAAAACTCGGTGGTTACATTATTAGGTCGATCTTCGGCCGGTGAGCATTATCGCTATCTTAAAATCTACTCGCTGTTTGGTGCTTGCAGTTACAGGTATTTTGCATTTTGCATTTGGTATTTACATTTTGTATTCTGGTGGTTGATTATAGCCTACATTGTGTATTGTGATTGTTTATAGCCTACTTTGTGTATTGTGATTGTTTATAGCCTACATTGTGTATTGTGATTGTTTATAGCCTACATTGTGTATTGTGATTGTTTATAGCCTACATTGTGTATTGTGATTGTTTATAGCCTACATTGTGTATTGTGATTGTTTATAGCCTACATTTTGTATTGTGATTGTTTATAGCCTACATTTTGTATTCTGGTGGTTGATTATAGCCTACATTTTGTATTCTGGTGCTTGAGTATAGCCTACATTTTGTATTCTGGTGCTTGAGTATAGCCTACATTTTGTATTCTGGTGCTTGAGTATAGCCTACATTTTGTATTCTGGTGCTTGAGTATAGCCTACATTTTGTATTCTGGTGCTTGAGTATAGCCTACATTTTGTATTCTAATGATGGAGTATAGCCTACATTTTGTATTCTGGTGATTGATTATAGCCTACATTTTGTATTCTGGTGACGGCTATATTACAAAGAACGCTATACCACGTTTACAAGCTAAATGGGCTTTTGCCATGACAAAACAAAGATTTTTCTAGATAATTATTACAATTTTCGATTTTTGTTGAATATTTTCGAAAATATGGCCTCTGTTACTTTATGTTAATGTTATGCTATGTTAATATTACTTTAAACATGTCAGCAGAGAAATTAAATATATTAGCAAGGGGCTTATTCTACAAACAAGTGTGCTTTCTGCTTTGTAGAAACAACTGTAACAATCAAAATAATGGCTAGAAACTTTGATTAAAACTAGTGAAAAAAGAGAACACTTTTCGAATACATTGTGTTACGACTTGCTAAGTGAATATTTCAAACGTCCAAGCACTTGGCCTGGACGTTAGAGCGGCGGTCTCGCTTCCTGCAGGTCTATGTTCAATCCCAGACCATCCAAGTGCTTGGGCTCCATTCCTTTCCCCCCCCCTCCCCTCCCCCGTCCCTTCCCAAATCTTTATCGACTCCTTCGAAGTGCTTTTTTTTGGCAGGGATATTCCTGCGCGGGCCCTAAGCCCTCTGGCTGGCCCACTAAGGATTCAAAGTGCTATATAGGCGTAATAGCTTGGCCGCTTTCCGCTTTAATAATGATGAATATTTCTAACAAGTGTACTATGATGAGAGTGAGCATTGTAATGCTAATTATTGCGTCTGTGAGTATCACTTTCCATCTTACAGGAAGATGACCACCACCAGCGTGTAAGAAACGTTCATAGAAACGTGCCCCGGCTAAATGAACACAAGAAAAAGTACCGTGAGTAAAAGGAGGAGAAAAAGTTACACGAAGAAAGCAGTGATGTGCGTCGCCCTGGCTGCGGGGCCTCTGGCCATCGGCTCTGGCTAGTTTCACCTCACCCGGTACCTCACACTTCATACCTTCTTCAACCCTCTTCCTTCCTCGTAGATTCAATTTTTTTGACTTGCAAGATGAACTGTGCTGCTTTTCGTGGTTCTTCTAGGTAGCTCTGTTTCTAAATAATGTATCAATGAGCGGAAAAGTGAGGCGAAATATACCTTTTACTTAAGAAATCAACAATTGGTAACTGTTTCTCACCTGAGTTACCTCCGCCGAAGAATTTCATTCAGTGCACCGCATAGACGTCTAGCGGGAGGGTGTGCCGCTTCTTCTCGTCGTCTAGGAAATACTTCTCTATTGTAAACTGTGTTACAGAAACGGATTATTTATTGTGATTGATGCAATATAGTTGATCCCTTAAGGTACGACATCTATGGTGTTCTTACACATTCAAATGGAATGATAGGCAGTGGAGAGTCAGGTGTGTGTGATCGTGTCAAAGAAACGCGTGGAAAAAAAAAACACTTCAAGAGTTCCTCCTTGGAAAATATCTCCTGGATGGCTTACCCCTACGTTGATGTCTGCAGGAAGGCGTGTGTAAGATTATCTCGTACTAAAAGATCCCAATAATAAGCTCCTACAGAGCTATGTTGTAAGCTCGAAATAGAATAAAAAACTAACATTTGTGCACACATGGATTTTGGATTACCAGAGCTAGTCAGAAGAAGCAACCGACTGAGTTACAGTCTTATCTGCCAGCAGTTATCGGGAGCGTCACTACTTATCTTCGCCGATAACAAGGTGAGTGAAATTGTACTGGCGTGGTCGCAGGTGGTGGCACTCTGTGCGTATTGCCCAGTGCTTGCGAGTGACCTTGTGTGCGTATTGGCCAGTGCTTGTGAGTAATCTTGCGTTCGTGGGCTGGACTGAGAGACGCTGACAAGACGAGGGAGGGTCAAGGAACAACGTTACCGCCTCCGCTTGAAGGACCTGGAATAATACTGGCGATTGAACCCACACAACACGAGGTAAGACTGCTGATGAAACGAGTAGGAAACTTTGTGTTAAACTAGGTTTGGTTCCCGGAGAAGGTAATAATTACTGGTGTTCTCGGGCGGAGCAGAAGATATTATGTTTGGAACAATGAACAATAATACGCTCCAGTGGGCGAGGCTACCTTTTAAGTGCTTCCAAAATACGACGACGTCCTGTTGAACTGGTTATTATTTTTTATAAAAGATTTTGCATAAAAGATTGTGAATATTTAATACTAGTTGTTTATTTACGAAAAATAAAAATAATCCTTATTACCTTACTTTACTAGAAAGAGTAAATAGACGACAAACGAGATTGGGCGGGACATATTTCCGTCTGCAAAAAAAAAAAAAAAAAAAAATGGTGTCGAAGAGTTTCATGGCCAGAATGTAAAAACCCGGTAAACAATAGTAGTGAGAATTGTTTGTCCTAATGATCAAGCATATATTCATTTACGAAGGAACTGTGAAATTGGCTGGGATTTATAGCCCATTTTGACAGGCCTTGTTATGCAACCCGTCCTCCTGATAGAACGTCGCATTTTGACGTATACTCTACCGAAAAACCTCGCGAAATTGACAATGCCCCGTTTTCTGTTTTGGGTCCTCTGGTAGGTTAGGACAAGGACACAGTACGACAATTTCTTGACGCTGGGAAACGTTAAGAGGACGAGCTGCGTTATGAGACTGTTCGTCTGTAGAGCTTTACTAGAGTGCGGAAACAATATGAACAGGTCCTAACTTACACCACGTGCACAAAAGTGGATCAATGCTTGCCTATGGTAGCTGCTAGGTGGCACGAGGAAGTGTGTATGTGTTCGATTTCCTTCATTCAAGTTTAAGATGCAAGTCCCATGCTCTGGAGAACTGCATGGGTGTGCGAGACAGGTGTTGGGTAACCCGGCGGTGATCTAATAAGGAGAGTCGTCACGAGATCGCCGTGGAGTGGGTACTAGGCGCGTGCTGCCTCATCCTGCCACTACCCCACACGGATGTGTTTTAAGAGGTGTAAAAGATCCAGGCGGCTGAGGTCGACGTGTTGAATAGTTTGATATTATGATTGTCACGTCACCTTTATTACCATTCTACCAAATAGTCTCGTTCTGTCATAGTGATTCTTATATTGCTCTTATCAGGCGCATGACATGAGGAAATGAATATAAAATTAATTCAAATTTATGTGGAATTGCGTATAATAATTTCGAATCTTGCCGTTATATAAAATCTAAAGGGTCTCTCGCTCCTCCTCCACCCCCTTTGCCTTTCCCATCTCTTTGCTCTCCCAATCTCCCCCCCCCCTCCCACCACTTGGACTGGAAGGTAGAGCGACGGTCTCGCTTCATGCAGGTCGGTGTTCAATCCCAGACCAAGTGGGTAGGCACCATTCCTTTCGCCCGTCCCATCCCATATCACTTATTCTGACCCCTTCCAAGTGTTATATAGTCGTAATGGCTTGACGCTTTCCCTTGATAATACCCTCCCCTCACAATCCTTATCCCAATCACTCCCCTCCCAATCTCACCTCACCCCCTCCTAATTCTCTGCTCTCTCATCTCTCTCCACCCCAACATCCCTCCCCCTTCTCTCCTTATCACTCCTCACCTATCCACCTTTTTCATCCTCCCTCTTCTCAACATTCCTTCCCCTCGCTTCTTCCCAATCTTCAAACGTCCCACTCCCTCATCCTCTCGGGAAATCTCTGCCCATCCTCCTGTTTAGTTGTGATACTTACAATAACGATGAGGACCATAGTACATATATGACGCAATGGACAATTAGAAAGTAACAGTCCATTTGTGTACGTTCCGCCCATAATTGCTATAAGTACTCTAATTTTTCAATGACAGGTTGCTAATACTTTCATACTGAACTATTATGACCATACAAATCTTACTGTATATCCCCAATTAAATAACCGTAGACTAAACTACCCAAATTACAATGAACTGTACTACATCGTTCTGGCTGCGTCTGTGGCAGTCACCTTATATCCATGAATGGGTTGGCTCATTACTGTTTTCGGGGCGAGTATAAGTATGAAGTTAGGTCCAGGTTTAACAGCTACAACGCAAGGCCGTAGACGCAGGCTATCTTCGGTCCATTTTGTCCGTTTTATAAAACTTGGTAAAAAGAACATCTTTGAATTAAGAGTTTCAGGGGAAGCGAATCGCCAATTAAGCTAAAACAATTACTAATTACAAATTACGTACGCTTTCCGTTTTAGTGTTAGGCTTTAATGCAATAAATTAAATGGCGCTACATAGTCCCCCTCCCTGACTTGGTACCGTTTGAATAATTACTTACAAGAAATTAATATAGTAGGATGCAGTTACCCCAGTTTTGTGACTTTCTAACATCTTGCGAGAGGACGACCGGGCTGCATAGTAAGTCTATCAAAATAAAATAAGGAGTGTGTGATTTCCCATGGTAATGGATTTGCGCTGAGAACGGGCTCCGTAAAGCAACAGCCCCCGTCAGAGATTATCTTGTGCACGAAACATTGTTGTCATGCGGAAATTTTGATCGCCAACACAAACTCCGCAAAACCCCCAAGAATATCACTAGGCAACTCCTTCACATTTCCAGCGGTATTAATAACCATTGACACAAACCCAGCGGTATTAGTAACCACCGACGCAATCACAATGCCAACAGTATTAGTAATCACTGACACACTCACGACAGCAGCAATCACTGACATGATCAACAGTACTAATAAGCGCCCAGATAAATTAGTTATTATACCGCGCACAAGAACCTGCCGTGCTCAACACACTACACACACAAAAAACTAATTTGATGACTTCCACAATCAAAATGCAATGAACGACATACCAAATAATTTTTCATTTAACAGTGAAATAAATAAAACTGTTTAAACTATGTACAATTAATCACTATGTTTAGTAATGATGTACATAAAAGGTAACCAAAAAGTACAAAGTAAGATATCTAATTAGTTATCAGTAACCAGTAAAGGTCCTAGTATGGTTCACAACCTCGGCAATAATAGCATTAAGAGTCAATTAGTCACGAGTTATTAAGTTCGTTAATTCAATTAACATCTAACAGCAAAGGGTGTCACCACAACAAATTTCCGAATTACCTGCCAATCTAGGCCAGTAACGCAGACCGATCGATGACTTCTATTTATGGTATTAAAAGTTATTACCACTCATTTATTGAGCATGGTCCCGTCGATCCCCACCGGCGTCGCCTAGTGAGGTGAGAAATTTACTGGAGTGTGGTGTATACAACCTGTCCTTAGGGAGGAAATCTGCTCGCGGGAATGGATTGAGAACGACTACATAATTACTGTTATTATCTGTTCCCTCTCCATGGCTAGGTTAGGTTTTATTATGTTTGGTTATATATTAATACTGTGTATTATTGACGTTAATATGAAATGTGGAATTCGAAAACTATTTGTTAGAATTGTTAGAAAACCAAATTCTTAAAAGAAAACGTTTTCAGCATATACTTTTTTTTATTTTAAACAAACGATTTCTAATACAAAAAAGTTATAACTTGAGAATAATCTCTGTTTAGGACAAAGTTTCACTTGCCAGTTTAAATTGTAGGAGTAGATTATCCCAATAATATACTCGCTCCAAATGTTTTGTTAATATTCCTGTCAACCTTTGGAGATGAATGAGGTGAGGCGTTGCCCGGGCAACACGGTGAGGTGTTGCCCGAGCATATAAGCAGCAGAATAGCAAACATTAACCAGAGTCTACTTTCAAGTGTGGTCTAGAGCAGACACTTGCGAGATACTGTACCGACGCTCAGTGCGCTCAACTCACACCAAAGTATCACCTGTGTACTTCTGCATATTCGACCAAATATATATATAGTATCTTAGTGTCTGTGTTTATTTGTCACCATACTTTACGTAACAATAGAACCGTTACAAAATGTAGACTACTACTCAAACTCTAATATATATTGATCATCACAAATATCTAGATAACTATCCAGGTGGTTTGAGGAGTGTGGTTTCTCATGGTAATGGATTTGCGCTGAGAACGGGCTTCGTAAAGCAACAGCCCCCGTCAGATTATCTTGTGCACGAAACACTGTTATCATGCGGAAATTTTGCGTCGTAAATTAAATATATGATTGGTGATGTAATGACTGTGCATTGGGATAAGTTTAGTTGAAGGTTCACTTGTTGATTTAAGGAGTCAAGAAATTTCATATTATCCCACTAGAGCGTCCCTAGTGGTAATTATATCAGTCTGCTCACAGTTTAGACCAAAATTAAAAGGTACACATCCATACAACGGTCTCGAGTTGATCTACCAATTTTTTGAAAAAAATTTGTTCCTAAGCAGATATCTTTTTGCCGTACGTTTAGCAATGGTTTTGCTTGTTAGTGATGCATGTGTATGCTGTTGATATGCTGACGATGATCTAACTTGGAAAACACTGTTGTGGCTTGATAGTGATAGTTGGCAAGTGTGATATATTACAATAGATAGTGTAGTGATATCTGATGGGAATGAAAGTGATTGCGGTAATTTTCGTTATTGTGAGTTGCTGGGAGAAAGCAGCAGTATTAAAGTTCTCACGCTAAAGGAGTTATTATTATTAACATCTTTACTGGCATAATTAATTTACAATTTTGCCTAATCATTGTAATTCAGGTTATATTACAGTGAGGATGATGCTCCTATTCACTGTGACACAGGATTATACACACATTCTCCATTCTTTAGAGGGACAAGCAAATTTAGGATAAATTAAGATGTCTTCTAATGCACCAGA